GCTTGGCTTTTCTGACACAACCCTGGGATCTTGGAGAGGGAATACCAAGAGAGTAAGAATCTCTCAATCGCTGTGGGGAGTTTGCAGGTATGGAGAGGGATGAGGGGCACAAAGGGGATGGCAAGATGGGGGCATCTAGGAGAAGCCTTAGCCTTTTCTGTAAAATCCACAGGAGGGATTCCCGGGGAGGTGCCCCTGATTGTCATATAATCTGATAAATGGCAGAGGTGCCCAGGTAAAGAAGCTGCTTACTCAGTGGGAATGTAGAAGCCTATGGTTAGCCTTAAAGAAGAGGCCTGAGTTGGTACAGCTTTGCCCCTGGAGCGATGATGGATCCTACTGGCCGGTCTCATCCGGGAGCTTCCTAGGTTCTCTCCCCACTGCCTTTATGGCTCAGCATCTCCGGAGAGTCCTGCCACCCTCCGCCCCACCCGCCTTTCTCCCGTCCCCAGACTCCTGGCACCACAGGACCAGGTACTGGATTAGGGTGCAGGGACCTGGGGTGAGGAAGAGGCTAGGTGCATGTGGCTTCACTCTCTGCTAGCACCTGACCCCTCTCATGGGCACTGCCAGAAAACTGGGCATTTTCACTGGGCAGGGAGGGCAGTGCCCTAGGTATGGGGGAATTTAGTCGGGGGTGGGTAGGGTGATGATGGTCCATAGGAAAACAGCTGAGAGATGAACAAAAGGAAGTGTGTTAGATGACAGGGCATGTGGAAGCCCGGGGCTGCGGTGCTAATGGGAAAGGCAGGCAGTAAGGGCTCCTTTTGCAGAGGCTCACTTCCCTTAGAGCAGGCCTCCAGTCCAGGTACTTTGAAGGGAACCTGTGTGTGTTCTCTTCCAGGACTTTGCCCCCACTGTTGGGTTCTCTTACATGTGCACTCCCTGGCCCTCTCGGCTCCCTCCCAGCACCCTCACATTCTCCTTTGTCCTCCCAGAAGCTCTGACCTCCCTGGGTAAGCCCAGCTTCTCTCTGGTTCACACCCTTTGGAGGCCAGGGCTCACCTGCAGAGGTCTTCCAAGTCCCTTAGTTTGGGTGGCTGGGAGGCACTCCATAACCCAACCTCTCGGATCCCTCCACTAAAGGACAGAAGGGTTCTGCTGCTACCTCACCCACCCGCAACTGTTTCACATCGGAACCACTTCAGTTCATTCTGGTTCCTCCCCTTGCTTAGAATTTCTCTTTTCCATGCCAGGTGGACTGAATCAGAACCTCCATTTTAACAAGACTCTTCTAAAACCCCAAGTGATTACAATGTATTCATACAGATCACCTGGGGATAACACAGGATTCACCCCAACCAAAATCTATGTTTTAAACCAGGTCCCTAGGCTATCCGTTTGTAGACATTATGATCATATAGAGCTTCTAGTTTAAAATGTTGATTCTAGTTGGGTCTATTTGGGGTAGAAATACAAATTCTCTGCTCTTTGTTCCACCAATCTGGTGGTAGAATATCCGTACACACCCCCACCCCCACCCTCCCTTGAGAAATCCCAACTAAGGCCAGTTGAAGGCGCTCAGCAGAGCACAGAGAGTGAATGCCTTAGCTGGAGACCTGCCTCTAACAGGCAGCCTTCCCCACCTCCACAGTGGCTGGAGCACAGGCCCCCAAGGTAGTCGGAGCTCTCCTGGGTGAAGCACAGCGAGAGTGGGCATCTTCCCGGAAGCATCAGGGCAAGGCAACCTCAGGGCAGAGCGGGAAGGATTCATAAACCAGTTGAGTTTCTAAGAACTAGACGTATTTTCTGAATTACAAACTGTTTTTTAGATGAAGGTTTGAAAATAAGAGGAGCTTAAAGCTGCCATGTTCCTGAATGCTTGGGTCAGCGTGTGAATGTTGATCTAACGTGCCCTTTGATTCTCTTCTCTCCATCTTGTATTTTGTAGCCAGAGCCTGAAGCTTCACGTCGATTTTTTGTCGACCAATGGGAGCTTTCTCTTAGTCTCCGCTCCTCCAACCGCCCTGCCTCTCCTTCCTCTGACTCCCTCCGACAGGTAGCACAGCCTGGGGCCCAGCAAAGCTGCTCTCCTTCCTCTGCCCACTTGGCTTTCACGAGCCCACCTGTTCCAGAGGGGGTGGGGTGCATCCTCAGTGTGGCCTGTCCCCGGGAAGAGAAGCTGCTGGTGTCTGGGGCTCCTCTAAGTAACCTCAGCCTGAATCAGAGAGGCTGCCGCTTCTGTTAAACTGGGCTGGACACAGCACGCCCACCCGCACCACCCCTGAGTCCCTAGCACAAGACCAGTCAGTGGTTTTCCAACGCCAAATGTCTTCCTTTTTAATTAATACGCGTTCCACAATAGGACCCTCGTGCTGCCGTCACTGCGGTAGTGACTACGCTTTCTATTTGGGGTGCCTCTGGTAGCACTCAGGGACTGCCTTGCTGCAGAGCTGTGTGAGAAGACATCGGAGAGTCTTGGGACCCTACTCATTTATATGCCCCCTGTTCTTGAGGCAGCACCAGATTTTGTGTGTGTGTGTTTGTGATTGCTCCATTTTGAAAACTGGCTGAGAGTGGGGAGAAGGGAATCACCTGCTTTTCAAGCCAAACGTGGAGAGAACTTGAGTCTCCACGTTCCTTGGGGAAAAGGGGAGGTGGGGATGATGCATGTCAGTGTCACCACATCGCTGAGAACATTGCTCCTGTTCTCCTGAGGCTGTCACTCCATGGGTGGCGGTTTCCAGGGGCCAGACAGGGAGGGCCCCATGCTTGCTCTGTGTCTCGGCCTCATAGTTGATATCTAGCCCACACCGGTCACTTGCCTGCTGCTGAACGAGGGAAATGTGGTTTTTGCTCCCCCTATGTCCGCTGTTACACTATCTGCTCACCTCTGCCTGGTGTCTGTCTGTCTCCGGCCCAAGCTTCCCTAATGTCCCTAACCCAGAGGCTCAGATTTAAGAGCCACTAGGGGGTATGCACTGTAAAGCTAATGGACAGGCACTTGAAATTTTAAGTCTAAAGATGTCATTCATTCCCCAGTTCCCGCGGAGCCTGGGAGAGGGGTTTCCTTGCTGGTACTTGTACTTGGGTGGCTCCTGTGTTCACATGGAGTGAGTACCCCCAGAGTCCTCCTCCTGTGTGGCATCGCTTGGGAGATGAACGATCTCCTCACACATGACCTCATGCATCTGTCCATCCAGATGGTTCCCTCGGAGGGCTGTTGGTGGTGTAGGCTTTTCCTGGGGTGTTTCTGGATCAAAATGAGAAGCAGGGCCCTCAAACTTTGCCGAGAGCTCCCTGCTTCCACACAGCGCAGAAGAGCATCACTCCACTTGTTGCTGGTGATGGCTCCTGTAGAAGGTGACTTGGACAAATAGTTGCTAACCGACTGCCAGCACAGACTTTGACCCCATCCCAGGTGGGACAGACTGCCTGCCCGGCGGCCTCGGTGACCAACCTTGATGTCAGTGGAAAGCCTTACAGTCAAAACCTCGTGCTTAATCTGTCTCGGAGAAAGCGCAGCAGGGGGCTCCTGAGAAACAGGAAGGAGACTCGTCTCACCAAAGATAGCCGAGGGACCTGTCCCTAGAGAAGGAGATGAGGTGGATAAAGTACACAGTCGGCAGAAATGGGGAAGGCCCTCAGGAGTTGGGCCGACACAGTGGCTACCATTGGCTCCAGCAGAACGCCCCCTGTGGGGAGGGTGCAGGTCTGGGCAGCGTTTTATTCTGCTGTACGTATAGCCTCTGACTGACTCCACGGCACTTAACAACAGTTTTCCCTCTTGTTACCTCAGCATGAACGGAGAGAGCATTTGGGTGGTTGAGAGCTGGGGCTTTGTTGTTGTTTTGTTTGCCCCCTAGCCTGTGACAATGACTCTTGTACTCCCTCTCCTGGACTAGAAGTGCATGACTCCCCGCAGCAGCAACGTGGCAGGCTGGCTGCAGGTGTCTGCTTAGCCGCCAGAAGCCTGTGTCAAGATGCCCCACCAGGCCAGGGGGCTTAGTGCCTGGTTGGCAAAACGTGGACATTGCTCCGCTGCTGTGCCCATGCTGCCACTGAGTCTGAGCAGGCAGAGGGTGTTGGATGCCTGTGACGGGGTGATCCGCCGTGTGTGAATAAGAAGGGTGAAGGTGATCACTAGCCCCGTCAGGGCTGCTGGCCTCGGTTACCCCAGTGGAGCGAGCCGTCTGGAGAGTCAGCCAGGGGAATTCTTTCTAAGCGAGACAGTCACACCCACCTCCATAGCCCTGGAGTCCAGGACCATCAGCCTGGCCTTTGCTGTCTGCTGGGCACCATGCCTTTCAAATTCTCTGCGTGGACTTGGAGTCGCTGGGGCCCGGCTCAGGCTCTTCTGTGTTGCCCTCCATCCTCACTTCCCACCTCTCATGCCCCGGAGCCACCAGCCTGGCCAGGCTGGTGGCTCCCTGTGGACGCTGGCACGGTGTTTCGGCCTTGCCACCAGCATCTCTGCTTGTGAGCACCGTGTTGGCATGGTTTGCTGCTGCACCTCGTGTTCCTGTTACACCTTTCACAGATGTCTGGGGGTCTTGTTCTCATTTCTCTGTCGTCTTAATTCATATTTTTCTCCTTCTCACCCCCGTCCGTTCTGGTCATTTTGTAATCTCCAACCACTAGAAGTATATAAAGATGTACACGGGCGGAGTGAGCTCACTGGCTGAGCAGATAGCCAGTCAGCTTCAAAGGAAAGAGCAGCCCAAAACCCTCCTAGACAAGAAGGAACTGGTAAGAGACACGCCAGAGGCGCGGTCCACACGAGGCAGGCACAATGGCAGTGAACCCAGCTGGGAGGTCCTAGAACGCTTAGTCAGGTGTAGAGCCCAGTCCGTGCCACCTGGTCACGCTATGGGCAGTTGTCAGAATTCCAGTCACCACACTTCTAGGACTGCAGCCGTTGTTTAAAATGTTGAGTGGAAAGGCATACTTTTGAGGGGTCTCTTAAAGTGAGCGAGCTAGCAGCAGACCCAGATCTGAGAACCACAGGGACACGATTATCCATGTCATATGCTACCCTCATTGATGGCCACAGAGTTGGGGGGGCGGGAGTTGGGTCTGTCCACCAAAGTCAAGTGACTTAGCTATCAGTTGTTGGTCACATTCACTCGAGATCTGACACGGTGCCAGGAAGCACAGTCGACACACGGGGCACAGTCCCTGTTAATGTGTTACACACGTGCGGACTGCAGCTGGAGGGGGGGGTGGCGAAGGGGGCCGCCAAGTGAGCCATAGCCCCGCGATTTTCTTAGTCTCCAAGCAAAACAGGTAGTGAGGGTCCGCTCCGCTCAGAGAGGGCCACCCTGACCGGCCCCCCGCCCGTCTCCTGCACGCAGGGCTCCATCAAGAAGGAGTTCCCACAGAACCTGGGCGGCAGCGACACGTGCTACTTCTGCGGGAAGCGCGTCTACGTGATGGAGAGGCTGAGTGCGGAGGGCCAGTTCTTCCACCGGAGCTGCTTCAAGTGCGGGTACTGCGCCACCACCCTGCGCCTCGCGGGCTACGCCTACGACACCGAGGACGGTGAGTCCCCCGCACCGGGCCCACGCCCCACTTGGAGCCGCTCCCTGCCACCTGATGTGTTTCTATGAGGGGCTTGCAGAACAGTTCGTGGAAAAACGGAACTAGAAGATGATGGGATCTTTCCATGTGTTTTTTGAAGCCCCTTTGTGTGTATGTATGTGTGTACGTACGTACCTACCTACTTGTCTGTCTGTAAAGGTGGCATCACAGTCAGGTGCTTGGCTGCAAGTGGAGAGGTTTGTCACTCAACCCCACCACCGCCACCACCACCCTCACCCACCCCCCCCCCCCCCCCCCCCCCCACCACCCCCCCCACCCCCCCCCCCCACCAAGTTCCCTGGTATGGGAACTTATAGGGGCGGATATGGTAAATGGTACTAATGGTAGTATTCAAGATCTTGACAAACAACTCAAATAGGCAAACCTACTAGTCTGCTCGTGTGGCAGTGGCAGCCAGGAAGCTCTGTGGGGACGGTGTGCCTCTTTCACACGGCGTTGCCGAGTCAGAATGGGCCCAGTCTTCCAAAAGCTCATGGAAAAAATGGGATTAGAAGATAACGAGAACTTTCCACCCGCATTTTGAAGCTCTCTGGGGTTTTTCCCTTCATCCGGCTTCTCTCGCTCTGCCCTGTCCATCTCTCTCCATGCATTCTCCTTTGTCCCCCTGGGGCTCTGTCTTACGTCTTCCCAAGCCGCTGCAGCACAGACCGCTGCCCCACACTCTCGCACTTGTGCATCACGATGGCACCATGAGTTAAGTGGGCTTAAAAGAGAGTGGGGGTTTTCTCCTGCATTTTTGGAAGCCCCCAGGTAGAGGATTTAGTTGGTGACTTCTTGACCTTGACGGAGCTGTCAGCCAGGAAAGGGGCCACTATGGCAGCGAGAATCAACCTGGTGTGTTCTCGATACATTGCGAGGTGTGGTGTGAAAATCTCCGCTGTTCACACACACCTGCTCTTTGGCTGAATCAGGCCTCTGCGCCGTAGGGTGGTACCCCTCCATCGTGGCTAGGGTAGCTCAGTGAGCCTTTTCCTTGGGATCTCCCCACAGATCTGTCACCCGGAAGGCATGCGCATGGCTGCCTGTGCTCTTGAGGACGCAGAATTCATTCTGCTGGGAGTCCAGCAGGCGCCCGGGAAGCGCAGCAGATGGTGCGCAGCATCATGGTGAAGGGCTCAGGGACAGCACGGCTCATGGCTTGGTAGGGGTTGGAGGACACAACCATCGGAGAAGCTCGGTGGGACTCAGGAACGGCTTCGTGGCTGGAAGCTAGACTTGCAGAGAGAGTGGGCAAGGGAAGGGTAGGGCGGCCGGCCGGAAGCACAGATTTGGGCCACTGTAATCATGAACATGAGATTTGTGGCGCCTGATCCTGGGGCAGAGATGACAATGGAAGCCTCAGCCAGGTCCCCAAGGTTTCGCCTCGATGATGTTCTCCTCCACTCAGCTGCCCCTCACCCGTCAGAGAGCAGAGCAACGAGTGGGATTTAGGGGTTCCCTTTGGCTCCATCCTTCACCTAAGTGGGCTGAGAGTCTCAGATCCAAGAACACCCAGGGAGCTAGCTGTGGCTTGGGAGATGGGCAGTCACTCTTGAGCCTCATCATTTTGTCCTCCCACCAGCCCTGCGAGGGAGCTGTTTTATGGCTGTGCTTCTTTCCTGAATCAGGAGACAAAGTTCCGAGTGGTTACAGGTTGCTGGTCAAGTGCAGCCAGCTAGTCTGAGCCCCATCTGCGATGCCTTCAACACTGAGAGTCTGGGACTGGTGGCTCCCATCCCCTCAAGGGTAAACTGTGACTTGGGAACCCATGCCCCTCACAGAGATGGCCGTGCTTCGCACTCACCCCGTCCACTCCTCCTCCAGCTCTTCAGACAAGACCCTACATCAGAGACCATCATGTCTTTCCCTGCCGTCTTGTGGCAAGAAAACACACTCCACCTATTAAGGGGATCTTTAGAGGCCGCTTCTCAGTGCCCAGCCTGTAACTGCCCGCTGCCTCGCTCCTTCTCTGCCGGGACCACCCTTAGCAGCCATCAGTGTCCTCTGATCTAATCTTCACCTGAGCCACCAACATGCCTGCCTCCACCACCAGCCCCCGACGGCCGTTTCCACACAGCAACCCAAGGGATCCTAGAAAGGGGTCAGGCGAGTCTTCCAGACTCTTGCCTCTGCCCTCGCCACCCGCTGCACCACAGACACATAGCTGCACTGGGTCTGCTCCACTCGCGGTGACCCTGCGGACCACAGAAGGAAGCCCTGCCCAGCCCCAGAGTATCTCCACGGTCACCGGCACCTCCGTGTGTCATTGCAGCCACCGTGTACTCCTCACCAGGTGTGCCCTGTGCTCCTCTGCTTTGACCTCTGACATGCGGTCAGCTCTCCTCCAGCTGCTGGGCCCTGCTGATGACGAGGCCAAAGCGAGCGAGTCAGACAAGGGTCTCTGTGACCCGTGAGGCCTCCACTGGCTAATTTTTGGAGGTAGACGGCCAGGCCTTATTCCGGACCCTCCACGGAACCCCGTGCCCGTCCTCGTGCTCGTGTTGGACATGTCAGTGCATGGTTTTCAGCACGGCATGCAGGCGACCCACTCCAGTAGACTGATGGGCAGGCAGCAGGCAGTACAGGTAGATCCACAGTAATTCCCCAGGCTGTGTCAGGTCTGCCCTGCCATCCTCTCTGCTCTCCCCCACGACCCCACCCCCTGCTCACAATTCCTGCCACGACGGTCTGGGTTCCGTTTCTGAGGTTAACTAGGCCGATCTCACACCAGGACTTTGCCCGCACTGCCTCCTCCCCACCATTGCCACGTGCAGCTATCTTGTTCCTCCCACGGCTGCTGACACACCCCTCTTCCAAGAAACCTTTCCCCACCCCTGCCCTGCCACGGCCGCCCCAGTCCATTCCCTACACATTCTCAACCGCACTCCGTTCCGACTTGGTATTGTGTGTCCGTCGGAGCAGAGCCTTGGTCCGGCGTCTGGACTAAGGCCTCCCGGTGTTTGGAGCTGCACTGCCACGAAGTGAATGGCCTGTCGCTGTCTCTTTTCTCCAGTCCCTGCCATGTGTAAGAGCCAAGGTTTCTTAACTACTTGGCCATCGGCAATCAGTTACCTAGTGGATCCTTCTTAGTTTGTCAATACTTAATGCCACCACACTGGGTTGACTGATTGAAATAGTCCTCATAAGCTAAGCTTATTAAATAGTGGCTTGAAGTATAGATTTTAGAGACAAGCTTCCGAGATTCAAATCCTTGAGATTCACTGTGTGGGGAACTTGGGGCACATTGCTTAGGCTTTTTGTGCCTCGGCTAAAGCAAGATGGATGATAATGGTACTCTAGGGAGCCTTGGTGGCACCATGGTTAAAAGATGGCAGCCTTGGAAACCCTCTGGGGCAGTCCTGCTCTGGGCTGCAGGGCCACCCTGAGTCAGAATCGACTTAATGGCAGTGGGTTTGGGTTAGGCTGGTCAGTGGTACCTTGCCTCATTGGATTGCTTCGAGGAGTAAGTGGTTCAGTAAGTTGGCGGGTGTAAGATAGTGACAGTCCCTTCTCGTTATTGATCTCAGAAGCACCAAGGGCCAAAGAGCGGAAGTTGGGACAAGGTAGTGGGCATACATCGATTGGTTCCTCCCCAGCTATGTCAACCTGTGTGGTGGGCATAAATGTCATTGTATACACACAGAGACATGTCCCAAGTGGCTGACTGTCCCACCCAGCTATTGAGTGATCGAGATGTATTGGAGCTGCGATCAGACTTGGGCGCTCGTGGTCTTTCCATCCTATGGCACTGCCATCCTAGAAGGAACAAGAGCTCTCAAGTGTTACCTTTGACTGCTGGTGGGAACAGTTTCCCAAACGTAATTAGTGCATCCCATGGTGTGTGCCCAGAAATAGAGATGGCTGTCTGCCGCCACCACCATCCAATCAAAGTCCCCCGAGACGTGCTTTTGGAAAGGAGAAAGACGGGGTTAGTTTACCCAGTCTATCCAGCACAAGGAGACAGGATTTGGGTTTTTGCACCTTCTCCTCAAACCAAAGAAAAAGGGGATTATTTGTACAGGAGAGGAGAAGGGGGCAGGGCTCTGGGCAAGGGAATGCCAGCAGCGTGGTGTCTTCACCACATGACATCGACTTATCCGTGTGCCCTGCCCTGATGTAGGCGCCAAGCCCCAGATAAGGCAGTATAGCAGGACGGCTCAGCCTGCTCTTCCCAGCACTCAAAAGATTCAGCTGCCATTCAGCCTGTTTCAAAAACACTCCCAGCCCTAGGCCCACAACTAGAAACTATTTGTCTACCTTCATTCCCAGAACTCCGAAAATTAAAACGAATCATATTGAAATAACTTTTAAAATAACTGTTAAATCTGTGCCTCGTGCACTTTCCTATAAACCTAGTGAACTTCTTGTCCTCAGGTCATTTCAGTATTAATGGTGTGAGTCCCTGGCTTCTCAGGGGAAGCGGCCAAGGCAAACCCATTAACCACAAGCCAAGCTATGGAAGGAGCCTAGTGATGGGGGCTCCAGCAGCTCCAAATCCTGATGTGATTTTGATAGCAGGGTCCGGTGAGGATTCCCTGGTAGGTTTGCCTATCTGAGTTGCTTGTCAAGATCTTGAATACTACCAAGTACTACCATTAGTACCATTTACCATACCCCTGCCCATTATAACTAGAAAAGAATGAAAGAAAATATAACAAGTTGTAATTTTCCGTGCTATAACAAACAAGGCACTTGCCTACGGGAAATAAAAATCTAACTCTCATTAAAGTTTATGCACTGGATTACCTCTTCCTTCCAG